GGGGAGAGGCTCCATCTATTGGTGGGGAGCTTCACCTGCTGGAAAACGGGTCCAGAGTCCCATATACAAAATTGATGAGCATGAACAGATAGAATGAGAAGCCTGCCAGCATTGATTACTCTGGCTTCCAGAGGATTAACTGTGCAGGTTTGTTTGGGAACAGGGAGGAGACCTCTTCATCCAAAACTAGATGCCAGATATCCACTGCTAGATCACCTAGTTCCTCCTTGTTTCTTAGGAGTCCGTGGAGTCCAGGGGATTCCGGCGCCAAATGCCTGCTGCTGCACACCAGTTCCCCTCTCCCCCTATCTTCTGACTGTATCTGCCAACTCTGTGGATGGTTTGGACCGAGGCGCTCCGTATGTTCATCAATTTGACAGTTCTTCGTACCATTGCTTATTCAATTGGCATCAGACCACCGCCTCTTCAGTCTGCCTCAGACCGCCAGAAGTCCCTGTTTCCCTAGCGGCTACTTCCGCCAATGCCTTCCTTATGTTGTTGTCCGGGGCCTCGGTCACCCTGCACCATACCATTGCATGTAGACCATTGCCAGCTGGTGGGGCGGGAATGGGTCGGAGCGGGATCTCCTGTCCCACCGTAGTCCAGTCTTTGAAACAGATAAGATAGTCTCGCCTGAACTCGTCTTGGTTGCCTTCCTGAGTGGGTGCACCGTCCCATCGGACGAAGGCGATCCAGCCCCCTTTCTCACTGCCCAACCAGTCCCCCGAAAATCGCTGAATTGCTTGTTTTATGTCTTTGGGTGTCTGAAATAGAACAAGCTGGTTTTTGACTTTTTGCCACTGCACCCTGAGTTCTTGTTGGATGAACTGTTTTATCATGTCTGTTACTTCCTCCCCAGCGATGCGGACCCCCTCTATTTGTCTCTTATACACATCTAGATGTGTATAAGAGACAGCTTCCCTTCCCCTCCTCCTCCTCTTCCTTTTTGCTCCTCCGCGTCCTCGTTTCTTTCTCCTCCTCCTTCGTTCGCATGCTTTCTTCCTCATGGGTGATGGTGTGTGACGTGGCGACCTGACGGAGAAAGGACGAGGAGGGCGAGTAGGAGGAGGAGCTGGAAGGAGGAGGAAGGAGAAAGGAGTTTGTGATGCGATGAATGAACTCCTTTCTTCGTCATCCTCCTCCACCTCCCCATCCTCCTCCTACTCCTCCTCCTCCTCCTCCTCTTCCTCCTCCTTTCTTCCTTCCGTCGCCATGTGACACACCAAAAAAAAAAAAAACTCTGAAAATCAGTCGCCCGGGCGACCTGGGTGACTCCGGGCGGACCGCCCGGGCCCAGGATGCCCGGCCGGGCGGGCTGTTCCGGGCGACTTTCGTAGCCAAGGTTATAACGATTGATTCTGGCAGCAAATTATGTGACCTTTTGTGATTCGATGCCAGTACAACCGATTATGGTAGGTTAAAAAAAAAAAATGCGAAGTGATGATGGAGCTTGAAGTGCCATATCATGACTAGATCCTAATTTCAAGATAAACAGTGGAGTTCTGTGGATTTTTGAAAGGCAGAAACCCACACTTTCTTCCCTCCTGTCCTCGAATTAAATTACTTTTCTCTATCAAAATCTTATATGCTTAAACCACCAGTTGAAATGGCCTGTCACTGTAGATTTTTCTCAGGAAGGAATACCGTAGCAAAATCTACAGCAATTAGGCAAGGCTTAGGTTCCAAGAGGAAATGCTGGTGGGCCCAAAAAAGTGTACTGAAATCTAAATCCGAAAAAAAAGAAATAAACACGAGAAACGGAGCTGGGCTACTCTACTTACTCAGCACACCCTCCGACACCTGTCTCATAAAAAAAAATAAAGAAAACAGTGACGGATTTGGTCTCCATAGCGGTGAGATACATTCTGGAAAGTGCTATTGTGAGTCTGACCTGAGTGCGGGCCTTCCGGAAACTGTGGAATAGGACGAAAGAAACATAAGAAGAAAAATAAAACAAAGATTTGGCTGCGATAGAAGTAAGTTACATCCTGGAAAGCACTACCGTCTTCCCCAGAACATAATGCGTACGCGTTGTAAGCGAGTATAATGCATAGGTTGCTTTCCACTCGAATACAGCGCGCATGTGTTCTATTCGAACAGCCCTCGTGTTTGAACACAGCGCGTATGCTTTCTATTCGAATCATTGATTAAAAAAAAAAAACAAACTTGAATACGTGTATGTGTGTATCGGGGAAACATGGTAGTATGACTATGCCCTCAATGAGGGCCTTCCCCCACATCTCTTTTGAAGTAGTTTGTTGCTGAACGTAGACAAGCTGTATTTCTGGTCTGATGCAGCCAAAATGATAAGCAGCCAGGAATCTCTTCTTTTCCTGTTGTCTGTTTTTTTCCCATGAGATATCATTGATCTTGATTTAGTTATTCTTTTGTTTTGTTTTCCTTTACGTGCCATCTGCTGGCATGAGGTACAGAAGTAGATACTGTCGCATGGGCGAAGGCGGACCGGGGCGCTTCCGCTAGCGCTAACGCAGCGCTTGGACCAAGCGCCGCCGTACGGCAACGAAGGAACTCCACGACCGAGGCGCTGCCAGCGGGATAGTTGCACGGTAGAGATGGCTCCTCTGCTGCTTCCGCCATGTCGGAAGGCTGACGATGGTGGTGAGGTGTTAGTCGTCGCGGTAGCCATCGTGTGGAGCCGGTAACCGCCTACAGTCTCCAGTTCTATTGGTTAGAAGCAGGCTATTTGTTTGTTACCTACCTCAGAAGTATAGGGAGGACCAGCTAATAGTTTGTCCTGGCCAGTAGGAGCAAGATCTCGAGTAAATTCACGGGACGTTTGACAAGCGGAGGAGATGGCGGACGAGGAGAGAGGGGCTCGTTCGCCGACTCCGGACCCAAATCTGATAGGAGAGGATCGAGGGCGGTTAAGGGAGATGATTCGGATGTGCTATGAGGAAGGAGATATCCCCTCGGACATTTATCCAGGGGAGCTGCAGATTGCCCTGTGGGAAGTCAGATTTGAAGTAAATGTGGCTATTGACCAGGAAAAAGTTGCCTGCCTCAAGGAGCATACGCTTATGATAATTTTTCGTGACGGAGGTCGCTTTTTGACAAGGAGAGTAAAAGATGATATTGTACGGGCGTACGAGGACGAAAGGGTGCAGGATGGGACGTTCGACTCAACGGAGTTCGGGAGAGGTAGGGTGAAGGTGGAGAGCCCAAATGTAGTCTCCTATGTTGCGAAAAGCCGGTCCATCATCAGGTGGATGCTATCTAAAGGAGAAGATCATCTTACACTTGGAATGCGAGCCATCGTCTCGAATTCAAACCATGGCTGACAACGGCACAACTTAGAGAGCAACAAAGAAAAAAAGATGAGTCGACCTTCTGGGTAATTGCGGTTCAAGTCCCATTGGGAGCAATTCTATTCCTGGAGGCTCGTATCAGAAAAGCTATTAATCCCGTTATCTGTAGACACCCTACGGAACCGGACAGAATGAAGCCCTCGTTGGTCAATATCAAATTTGATATTGATCCGGATAGCCGCTCCAATATGAGAGACATGATCTGGGTAGATACATCGGAAGGCGATTCTCTTGAGGTCAAGCTAGCGTCGTCTCAAATGCTAAAGTGCAGAAGATGCCGAGCTTTCTTCCATACGGAAGCAGAGTGTAGAAGAAATGGAAGATCCGGAAGTCAAGGGCAGCATTTCGGCCATCAAGTTCCTCAACATAGTGGAGGCGGCCAAGAAGCATCTTTGAGACCACCCTACACCTAATCGGGGGGGGGGGGGGGGGGGAGGGGCAGCCAGGATTTCGGCCTTACGAGAACCTTGTGTTCTGTTCGGGACAAGGTGAGTTTCCTGGCAACATCCAGGGTGCTTATCCGACGGGCTATCCACAGGGCAACTGGGTGTGCCCCCCCCCTCAACAAATGGCGCGGAACACATGCGATCATTATGGACAACAAGGCGGCATGCCGCCTTGAGCCACCGCACTACCCCCAGGGTTCATGGCCTATTTTGAGGAGCTGATAAGGCAGCATGGAGGTTCCGGGGGCTTAGCTCCCGAGAATCAAGCCGGTGCTGACCCAGTCACACATGGGAGGACTGCAGGCACAGGTGTCGTGAATGGAGGGAGGGCTACTATAATTCTGGAAGATACTTCGGGAACAAACGCGGACACTCACCCCCCCCTACTAGGGGGCACAAGGAAGCATCCACGTCAACACCAGCAGGACCATCACGCTTAAGAGGAAGTTCAACATGTAAGCAACAAAGATTAAGTTTTGATGCAAATGACGGGTTGCCGACGCGCCAGATCACTGCGATCCGAGGCATCAATTCCTCGATCAGAAGGATTGCAGGATCAGCAGGTGGAGGTAGGTACCCCCAGGCACAAGACAACACGGAAGAGAGTCCCAGTTTCTCTTGCTAGAGTCCAGATTCGGAAC